TTTTGTTATAATTGTAATATTTATTTAGTTTAAATCCGCTGGGCGTGACTTTAAATCTTATGTTAAAGGAGAAGGAACGACCAAATAATAAGAGGGAGGATGAAGTAAAAACCTTCAAAATAGGGGACAGGGGAGACGCAATCTGGAAAGAGAGAAGGGCAAAAGCCATCAATGGTAGATTGTATATGATACACGACTCGCCTTGGGATAAAACTTCACTTTGAATTTCGATTGCATTGTTTATATACTTTTCAAATGTTTTCTCAGTGGAGTTTCTTCTTAGTAACTGTGTAACATTGCCCTATGTAAATTCTTTCTTTTATCTTGAACCCGAGAACTAGACTGTGCTGAGCTACCGGCCCAAAATGGCATTGTTCAGACCTTGGGTACCTTATATCATCGTTTACATATTTGCTCAGTTTCGCCCATATTTGCTCAGTTTCGCCCTGTCAGACATTGGAGCCCTGTCCGCACTGTCGGGAGTGTGGCAGAGGATACAAAACAGTACATTGTCTCGGAGCGAAAGAAAAGATGTGGTCCCGGTGCCCGTTAGTTTCCGAGAACTAGGTCACGACCTCGTACGCCGTGGGCACTGGCACCCTGGCCGAATTCTTAGCGTGGGTATATGAACAAAGACCGTAATCACGTTACTGCCCCGAGAGTACCGTGCTCATGCACAGTGCCCGAACACCAACTCTGAACGCCGCCTTATTCTACCATCTTTATTCGACAATACGTTTTAAGTAGTATTCAACATGGGTGCGGTATATGTAGAAAAGGGCATCACTCTCAAACAGAATCCGTTTGAGGAGTTAAAACGTAGGGGAAATGATGTAAGTGGGCTGGTTGAGAGGACTGATGCCCGAGGCGACCGAGGCAACAATGGTGATAGTGAAGGTAATGATAAACTTAAGAAAAGTTACTTGGTGGTTGTAGTCTACCTGTAAGGACATTGGGATGCAGGCAAGTTAAAAGACCTTCCAGGTACCAATATTTCCTTTAAACAAGGGACAATTAAAAGCCGAAAGGCCTGCATAGAAATTTCTATGTGCAGTCATCCCACATATGTCACCTGCCTATGACTGGGAATCTAATGAGAACCAGGAACTTGCCATTGAAATGTTGCGTTCAGTATCGCTTAGAGGATAGTCCGTAAGTGCAGTCGACACTCGACACCGCCACCAAGAATGTCTTCCAAACATTGCCAATAGAGAGGAGAAGTCGTTACGTAACACTGCCATGGTAGCAACATTTCTGGATCTCAACAAACGGTCCCGGTCCTGCTAATATAGCAGAAAAAAACGAAAAAATTGACATGTATGAATTTCTGGTGCATGATTGCACTCAGGAACAAACCGGTAGCCCATACTTTTCCTCTATCGTTCGACAATGCAAATGACCGTATTCCTCAAGAAAGATTTTTGAGATCCAGAAATTTTGCTACCATGGTAACTTGACGTCACGTTTTCCCCTAATTCTTGGCTGAGTTCCATGATGCGAACGAGTTTTTCGCAGACCGTCAAGCAGTGGGCATGTCTACTCTTGCCCGGCAGATCTTGAAGGGAATCTAAAATCCTTAGGTAAACTATGAAAACGTTATAACGGCAATCAGACACCTCAGTAAAGACTTAGGATTTTTTCTTTTTTTTTTTTTTTAATTAAGAAGTAATTCCTGTCCTCTGATTGGATGATTTATTGACTGACCTACTCACTCACCGACTGAGTGACCATCAGTAGACTGACAAATTGATCCGCAGAATATAATTTACCGACTATTTAACTTATCCAATGCGGCTAACTGACTTATTTGTGGGGAAATTAGGAGCAATCAAAAGCGGAAATTCGTTTTAAGGCCAGACACTAATTACTTGGGCAGAACCTTAACAATTTAGTTAGTGGAGGAATGAATATTTCGCTTTTTTTTTCACTTGGGTGGCCTCAAAGTAGGAATTGGGTTCTAAAGCGCATGTATAAATTTTCATACCAACCTGGCGGCTCGCCATGAATAACCTCTCGTTTGTCCTCGCGAACGAGACAAAGTGCGAATTCTTTCAAGAGAGAACTGTTTACAAATTAGGGACTGTGCAATAATTACCTGGAGGGGGAGGGGGGTTGGGAAATGGGGGAAATATGCCCCAAAACTAAGTCATACCCCTGCTCTCATTAAGCAAAAATTAATTTCAACCCCCCTCACTTAATGATAATATTTAGGCTATTTCCCCCCCCCTTGAAAAACGTCTCCTCTCACTGATTCGCTCATACCTAGTTTACTTGTTAGAATTCGTCCTCCGGTACAAACATCACTTCAAATGACTCTTCGACGTATGTCGAAGAGTCATCAGAATCACTGGACTCTGAGGGTGTGTCGTCTTCGCATGAATTGGGAGATTCCTCATCTTCTACGGCCTCTTTGGCACTAAGGTTCCCGCGTGCGTGGGTGAGAACTCGATCAATCAACTCAGCCTTGCTTCCACTTATCTTAAATTAAAACCTTTTTGCTTTAGACGCATTTTCAGCAGCTTGTTGGTAAGCGCTTTTACATCTTTTACATGTTTTATTTACCATACTTTAAATTTGTATTACTATTAAAATTTCAACGGTTGGGTTTTTCATTCTGCTAAATTATGATGCCATGTGTGCTACCATTAGCGAAGGCTTTCTTTTTCATTGAATCATGACATTATAGTGCTTCTTTTGCAACTTTTAATTAAAGTTTCCTGTTTTATTAAATCCTAGCGTAAAAAAAGTAGCACTGTTTTAACATATATAACAGATGCATTCCTTTCCTACTGCATGACAGATAGGAAAAAGAACAGTTCATAGATCAGAACACCTTAGAGTTGATAAATTTGTCAGTTTTATTCCAATGTTAGTATTGATATTTGAACTCTAATAACTCCTCCACTACTTTTCCAGTTTGCAAAAAGGAATGAAAAAGTAATGCCCGCCCTAAGTGTATTAAATTTTAAATCCAACCTCCCCTCTCTCTTGTTGTCATTTTTTCCTACGCTCCGCCCCCTTCTAATTTTTCAACAGCGCTTCAGGTAATTATTACACAGCCCCTTAGAACGGTGCAGATCTACTGCTTTTTTGGAGTCTTCTTTGTAACAAAGTATTCCGTGTTCTACTTTTTGCTTGATCCCTTTCCTCGGGCTTTGTGTCACTGCATTCCTAGGGGAATAGTTTCCAAACATTTTTTGTCCACTTTTTAAGGGTAGTTTTGTTTAGTGGTTTTTCGTGTCTGGCCGGACAATCGCTCTTACCTAGAACACGTAATAGTATTTTGCAAGTATATCATTGATGTATTTAGGATACATCTGCCTCCGGTGACCAATTGGTTTATCCTTTATAATCATTTCACTCTGGATGTCTCGTGTTAGTAGAGGTCAGAAGCTGGTTTTTAAAACATGGAGCACCCAATATTTAATTCCATCTGGATGGGATGTCTATTCATTGCAACAGGACAACCCAACGTTATGTTTCTGGTACCCATTTATGAACCTGGATCTAGTTGTTCGAGGGCCGATTAGCGCCAACGGATGATATTTCTTCTGTTTAAAAGCACTTTTACAGATAAGTTTTTCTAGTTTTTAGAGCATCCATTCACCAAATTGTAGAAAAAAAGAGAATTAATAAAACTGACTTTGCTTTCTAAGCTTTAACATCTGAAATCAAATTTTCCTCTAACCCGGTGGTTTTGAACAACCCGGCCCTGCTGATTGAAAAAAGGGGTCTACGTAAGAGTTTTACTCACCCCGGTTTATTAGTGGCTTTATTTAAAGTAATCAGATCACTTACAACGATAACGCATTTCAATTATCCCAGTGTTTTCCCTCGACCATCCAGTAATGTTGTTCATTCCTGTGCATTTATAAGCTCCTGCGTGTTTTTCTTGGATATTAGGATTTCGAAGAACAGAAGATAAGGTGTCCTCTCCAAACAGCTGCTCGTAGAGATAAAAGCTTTCAGATCCGTTGATGATTAGTTTACTACCTGGTTTGTACCAAGCAACACGAGGAGGAGGCAATCCCTTAAAGGTACAATTGAGTTCCATTTCCGTCGTATTAGGATAGAAATCCACTGGAGAACTTGTCTTAAATACTCTCTGAACTGGAACTGAAAAGAAATTTTTCGTCTTTAGTTACTTACCAAGCTGATAAGTCATCCACTCAGTTAGTTTTAACATAAAGTGTGATCTCTCTTTTTTAAGTGACACTTTCCTAAAACAAACTCGGTAATGCTTTACTGCAATTCATATGTTGATTTTAAATAAGGGACTCAGTAAAGTGCGTTTGTTAACGTTGAAGGTGATTCAGGCGGACGAAACTTCAACCGGTTTGTGATATTACTCTAACCGTAAGGGCTGACGTTACCATGCAATTAAATCTCCGTCAGCCACCTACGAGGTCTTCAAGGATCATTCATAATACATGTAAAAAGAAGACCAAAAATTATCCATCATGATGTTTTTATATAAACCATGAATTGCAAAAAAGGATAAAGAAGAAAATGCTCACTAGCGTATTTTATAAAAAAACATCCACGTGACGGATTTACATCGGTCGAATAGTTTTGTAGTAAGTATAGACCATCACCTTCACTTAATCCAGCATTTTAGAGTCACTTTAGAGTCTTTCGGCGTTACTGTTATCGTCTGAAAGGGGGGTTGACGATTCTGCGCGTTTATTTCACAGTTCATGCCTAAATGACTGCGTCCCAGGATAAACAGCCGTGTCTTTCAATAGTTTAACAGACTAACCCTAACCTATTTACGCGCTCAACTTTTTTTTCCAAAGCTATAAAGCAATAATTTGAACATAATTGAGGACCCGTTTTGTTATAATTGTAATATTTATTTAGTTTAAATCCGCTGGGCGTGACTTTAAATCTTATGTTAAAGGAGAAGGAACGACCAAATAATAAGAGGGAGGATGAAGTAAAAACCTTCAAAATGGGGGACAGGGAAGACGCAATCTGGAAAGAGAGAAGGGCAAAAATCATCAATGATAGATTGTATATGGTACACGACTCGCATTGGGATAAAACATCACTTTAAATTTTGATTGGATTGTTTATATACTTTTCAAATGTTTTCTCACCGGAGTTCGTTCTTAGTAACTGTGGAACATTGCCCTATGTAAATTATTTCCTCTATCCTGGAGGGTGGTATGAAGAGAAATGCACGTATGGTAAAGTGTTTGTTGGTTTGGTTTGAAGTGTGTACGCACATTTAGGATTAATTCTTTTTTCTATTTTCCTCCTCTCCTAGGTTATTCGTTTCCAGAAAAACTTTTTTCTGTCTCAGATATTTCAGCAATAAATGTTATATCCAGTTAATTATTAAGTTCAATGGAAATGGTGATGTTCACACTCGGTACCGAGAACTAGACTGTGCTAAGCTACCGGCCCAAAACCTTGGGTACCCTATATCATTGTGTACGTATTTGCTCAGTTTCGCCCATATCTGCTCAGTTTCGCCCTGTCAGACATCATTGGAAAAGGAGTGTGGCAGAGGATACAACACAGTACATTTGTCTCGGAGCGAAAGAAAAGATGTGGACCCGGTGCCCGTTAGTTTCCAAGAACTAGGTCACGACCTCGTACGCCGTGGGCACTGGCACCCTGGCCGAATTCTTAGCGTGGGTATATGAACAAAGACCGTAATCACTTTAGTGCCCCGAGACTACCGTGCTCAGGCACAGTGCCCAAACACCAACTCTGAACGCCGCCTTATTCTACCATCTTTATTTGACAATACGTTTTAAGTAGTATTCAAAATGAGTGCGGTATATGTAGAAAAGGGCATCACTCTCAAACAGAATCAGTTTGAGGAGTTAAAACGTAGGGGAAATGATGTTAGTGGGCTGGTTGAGAGGACTGATGCCCGAGGCGACCGAGGCAACAATGGTGATAGTGAAGGTAATGATAAACTTAAGAAAAGTTACTTGGTCGTTGTAATGTACCTGTAAAGACACTTGGATGCAGGCAAGTTAAAGGACCTTTCAGGTACCATTATTTCTTTTAAACAAGGGACAATTAAAAGCCGAAAGGCCTGCATTGAAATTGCTATGTGTAGACATCCCACATATGTCACCCGCTTATGACTGGGAATCCAATGAGAACCAGGAACTTGTCATTGAAACGTTGCGTTCAGTATCGCTTAGTGGATAGTCCGTAAGTGCAGACGATACTCGACACTAAGCCACCAAGAATGTCTTCCAAACATTGCCAATAGAGAGGAGAAGTCGTTACGTAACGCTGCCATGGTAGCAACATTTCTGGATCTCAACAAACGGTCCCTGTCCTGCTAATATAGCAGAAAAAAACGAAAAAATTGACATGTATGAATTTCCGGTGCGTGATTGCACTTAGGAAGAAAACGGTAGCCCATACTTTTCCTCTATCGTTCGACAATGCAAATGACCGTATTCCTCAAGAAAGACTTTTAAGCTCCAAAACTTTTGCTACCATGGTAACTTGACGTCACGTTTTCTCCTAATTCTTGGCTGAGTTCCATGATGCGAACGAGTTTTTCGCAGACCGTCAAGCAGTGGGCATGTCTACTCTTGCCCGGCAGATCTTGAAGGGAATCTAAAATCCTTAGGTAAACTACGAAAACGTTATAACGGCAATCAGACACTTCAGTAAAGACTTAGGATTTTTTCTATTTTTTTTTAATTAAGAATTAATTCCTGTCCTCTGATTGGATGATTAATTGACTGACTAACTCACTTACCGACTGAGTGACCATCAGTAGACTGACAAATTGATCCGAAGAATATGATTTACCGACTATTTAACTTATCCAATGCGGCTAACTGACTTATTTGTGGGGAAATGAGGAGCAATCAAAAGCGGAAATTCGTTTTAAGGCCAGACACTAATTACTTGGGCAGAACCTTAACAATTTAGTTAGTGGAGGAATGAATATTTCGCTTTTTTCACTTGGGTGGCATCAAAGTTGGAATTGGGTTCTAAAGCGCATATATAAATTTTCATACCAACCTGGCGGCTCACATGAATAACCTCTCGTTTGTCCTCGCGAACGAGACAAAGTGCGAATTCTTTCAAGAGAGAACTGTGTACAAATTAGGGACTGTGCAATAATTACCTGGAGGGGGAGGGGAGGTTGGGAAATGGGGGAAATATGCCCCAAAACTAAGTCATGCCCCCCGTCTCATTCAGCAACAATTAATTTCAACCCCCCCCCCCTCACATAACGATAGTATTAAGGCTAACCCCCCTTGATAAAAGTCGCCTCCCACTGATTCCCTCATACCTAGTTTACTTGTTGGATTTCGTCCTCCGGTACAAACATCACTTCAAATGACTCTTCGACGTATGTTGAAGAGTCATTTGAAGAGTCATCAGAATCACTGAACTCTGAGGGTGTGTCGTCTTCGCATGAATTGGGAGATTCCTCTTCTTCTACAACATCTCTGGCACTAAGGTTTCCGCGTGCGTGGGTGAGAACTCGATCAATCAACTCATCCTTGGTTCCACTTATCTTATATTAAAACCTTTTTGCTTTAGATACATTTTCAGCAGCTTGTTGGTAAGCGTTTTTACATCTTTTACATGTTTTATTTACCATACTTTAAATGTGTATTGCTATTAAAATTTCAACGGTTGGGTTTTTCATTCTGCTAAATTATGATGCCATGTGTGCTACCATTAGCATGTTTCTTGTTCATTGAATCATGACATTATAGTCCTTCTTTTGCAACTTGTAATTAAAGTTTCCTGTTTTATTAAATCCTAGTCTAAATAAAGAAGCACTGTTTTAATATATATAACAGAGGCATTTCTTTTCTACTGCATGACAGATAGGAAAAAGAACAGTTCATAGATCAGAACACCTTAGAGTTGATAAATTTGTCAGTTTTATTCCAATGTTAGTATTGATATTTGAACTCTAATAACTCTTCCACTACTTTTCCAGTTTGCAAAAAGGAATGAAAAAGTAATGCCCGCCCTAAGTGTATTAAATTTTAAATCCAACCCCCCCTCTCTCTTGTTGTCATTTTTTCCTACGCTCCGCCCCCTTCTAATTTTTCAAAAGCGCTTCAGGTAATTATTACACAGCCCCTTAGAACGGTGCAGGTCTACTGCTTTTTTGGAGTCTTCTATTTAACAAGGTATTCCGTGTTCTACTTTTTGTTTGATCCCTTTCCTCGGGCTTTGTGTCACTGCATTCCTAGGGGAATAGTTTCCAAACATTTTTTGTCCACTTTCTAAGGGTAGTTTTGTTTAGTGGTTTTTCGTATCTGGCCGGACAATCGCTCTTACCTAGAACACGTAATAGTATTTGGCAAGTATATCATTGATGTAGCTAGGATACATCTGCCTCCGGTGACCGACTGGTTTATCTTTTATAATCATTTCACTCTGGATGTTTCGTGTTAGTGGAGGTCAGAAGCTGGTTTTTAAAACATGAAGCACCCAGTGTTTAATTCCATCTGGATGGGATGTCTATTCATTGCAACAGCACAACCCCAACGTTATGTTTCTGGTACCCATTTATGAACCTGGATCTAGTTGTTCGAGGGCCGATTAGCGGCAACGGCTGATATTTCTTCTGTTTAAAAGCACTTTAACAGATAAGTTTTTTTCTAGTTTTTAGAGCATCCATTCATCAAATTGTAGAAAAAAAAAGAATTAATAAAACTGACTTTGCTTTCTAAGCTTTAACGTCTGAAATCAAATTTTGCTCTAGCCCGGTGGTTTTGAACAACCCGGCCCTGCTGATTGAAAAAAGGGGTCTACGTAAGAGTTTTACTCACCCCAGTTTATTAGTGGCTTTATTTAAAGTAATCAGATCACTTACAACGATAACGCATTTCAATTATCCCAGTGTTTTCACTCAACCATCCAGTAATGTTGTTCATTCCTGTGCATTTATAATCCCCTGCGTGTTTTTTTTGGATATAATGATTTCGAAGAACAGAAGATAAGGTGTCCTCTCCAAACAGCTGCTCGTAGAGATAAAAGCTTTCAGATCCGTTGATGATTAGTTTACTACCTGGATTGTACCAAGCAACACGAGGACGAGGCAATCCCTTAAACGTACAGTTAACTTCAATTAGCGTCGTATCAGGATAGAAATCCACTGGAGAACTTGTCTTAAATACTCTCTGAACTGGAACTGAAAAGAAATTTTTCGTCTTTAGTTACTTTCCAAGCTGATAAGTCATCCACTCAGTTAGTTTTAAGATACAGTGATCTCTCTTTTTTAAGTGACACTTTCCTAAAACAAACTCGTTAATGCTTTACTACAGTTCATATGTTGATTTTAAATTTGGGACTCAGTAAAGTGCGTTTGTTAACGTTGAAGGTGATTCAGCCGGACGAAACTTCAACGGCTTTATGATATTACTCTAACCGTAAGGGCTGACGTTACCATGCAATTAAATCTCTTTATTATATAAACACCAATGAAATACCAGGTGAGCTTTCGCGCGAAAACTTGATATCTTCACGTGTGAATATAACATGTTATGTTCACGTGTCAAAATAACACCTCTGCTATGGCTACATAATAAATCGCGGCTTTCACACCAAAAAACTATAAAAGTAAAATGCTTTGGTATTTCATTGGTGTTTATATAATAAATAGAACAGTACATGACCGCTTCGAGATACGAAATTTCTCTTCTCGTGTTGAAAAAATATTTCACTCGTTCGCTGCCCTCACTCGTGAAATATTTTTCAACACTCGAAGAGAAATTTCGTATCTCCGCGCGGCCACGTAATATCCTGTATGTCAGCCAACTACGAGGTCTTCAAGGATCATTCATAATACATGTAAAAAGAAGACCAAAAATTATCCATCATAATGTTTTCATATAATCGATGAATTACAAAAGAAGAAAGAGGAGAAAATGCTCACTAGCGTATTTTATAAAAAAAAAACATCCACGTGACTGATTTACATCGGTCGAATAGTTTTGTACTAAGTATAGACCTTCACTGGCCCGGAAGTTTCTTTCAAGGCCCTGCCAGGTCAAATCTTGCACATTTCCACCAGTCTTAATCCAGCATTTTAGAGTCACTTTAGAGTTACTGTTATCGTCTGAAAGGGGCGTTGACGAGTCTGCGCGGTTATTTCACAGTTCATGCCTAAATGACTGCGTCCCAGGATAAACAGCCGTGCCTTTCAATAGTTTAACAGACTAACCCTAACCTATTTACGCGCTCAACTTTTTTTTCCAAAGCTATAAAGCAATAGTTTGAACATAATTGAGGACCCGTAAACAATATTAACATTATAAATAAATCAAATTTAGGCGACCCGCACTGAAATTTAGAATACAATTTCCTCTTCCTTGCTGGTTTATTATTCTCCCTCCTACTTCATTTAACCTTCAAAATAGGGGACAGGGAAGACGCAATCTGGAAAGAGAGAAGGGCAAAAATCATCAATGATAGATTATATATGGTACACGACTCGCATTGGGATAAAACATCACTTTAAATTTTGATTGGATTGTTTATATACTTTTCAAATGTTTTCTCACCGGAGTTTGTTCTTAGTAACTGTGGAACATTGCCCTATGTAAATTCTTTCCTCTATCCTGGAGGGTGGTATGAAGAGAAATGCACGTATGGTAAAGTGTTTGTTGGTTTGGTTTGAAGTAAGTACGCACATTTAGGATTAATTCTTTTTTCTATTTTCCTCCTCTCCTAGGATATTCGTTTTTATAAAAACTTTTTTCTGTCTCAGATACTTCAGCAATAAATTTTATATGCGGTTAATTATTAAATTACTTCAATGAATAAGGGGATGGTCAAACTTGGTACCGAGAACTAGACTGTGCTGAGCTACCAGCCCAAAATGGCATTGTTCAGACCTTGGGTACCCTATATCATTGTGTACATACCGTATTTATTCGAATGAGCGCCCAACCTTGATTTAGCGCCCACCTCGAATAAGCGCCCATCCAGAAGACAGAAAAATTTAATGAGCGCCCAGCCTCGAATTAGCGCCCAGCCCATCCCGCCCCCCACCCCCTCAAACTCAAACTTTTTTGCCCAATAACTGTTACTAATTGGACGATTGACGTAATTCTTCGAGAACTAACCCATTCTCTGTTAGTCAGCATCATTTCGTTTTGTTTTGTGCTGTATTGTAAATGAACGCTAAGCTATTCACATTCTGACTAGACCACTTTACAATTTCATGTTCCAACTCGACATACGCCGCTAGATCGTTCATTATGTGGCTAAAGTGTTCGGGCCGTTTATTTAAACGGAGTTTAGCCAGTCAAGCGCGTTCTAAGACATTTTCAGTTTGCCCAATGCTTTTATCTAAATATCACGCAATTTCTTGAAAGCATACAGACTAGACAAGAAAAGCATTTATCATTCGAAGCAAATATTTCTTTCTTTTCGTTGGCCGAGAGCCCACCACGTGACCTGAAAACAACTGCCTACAAATAATGGTCTGCTCATGCGCAATGCCGTCCAACTGTGTTTGGCTGCAAATAATATTCTGCACATGCGTAAAAGAAACTGTGCTTTTCTCCTTTTTGCGATCGCTCTTGCGTGAAAATGGCAGATCGCTTCCCGAGGATATTCATTAAAAAAACAAACTCGGTGATCGAATGATAAAACAATTATTGAACTCTGTTATCGCAAAATATCGTGATTTGTCAGTTTCTCGCAGATCAATTATTTGATCTAATAATTGATCTGCTCGCCACAGACAAATCACGATATTTTGCTCAACCTCGTCCAATAATTGTTAAGAGCGACTCTCTATAGGGACCGAGTGAGACTGAAAAAATATGGCACAGGGTTGGAAAAATGGACCCCATGATATTTCGTCCAGAGATAACCTATGATATGCTAAGAATCATGATATAATTCTTAGGTTCTAGAATTTTTACATTTTTGAGAAAATTACGAAAAACCGTCGACAACCCGTGAAGCCGAAAAATCACATAAATGAGGCCAAATTTCATGATCAGATAATCGAACTCGCGTGAAGGCGCATAGTAAACTATGGTTTAACGTAGTTTATAATTTTATTTAGGAGGTATTGCTAATTCCGAATTCCTGGAGAGTAAGCGAAGAGAAACGAAATTTCTAAACTTTGAAAATGAAAAATTCCATATCGTTTTCAAACATCTCAAAACATACTCGGTTTTATGTAGAATTCTTTCAAACTTTAATTCTAGCAAGTACAAAAGCTGTTTTTGAACGTGATATAATTTTTTTCTTGGCAAAAGTTATTTCTGAGGCGAGCCGCCCCATGCAAGTTGACCCAATTTGACCTTTCGAAGAGATTTTGTTCAACCAGGAAATGTAAACAATTCGACTAGCCTTAGCTCGCTTACATACATACATACATACATACATACACTTTATTGATGCTCCCTAAGTGGGCTTTTCAGCTCAATAGAATAAAAAATACTAATTTATATAAATTAATTAAGAATATCAGTACAATAATATTATAATTACAAAAAATATATCAACTTAATAAAACATTTGCAAGATGACGCCTAAAATTCCTGGGGCATTTTAAGGACTTAAGAGCGGCTGTCTGTAAATATCGAGAATTTGCCGTCAAAACGGAAATTTCGAAATTCTTCATATTCAGTCAGAAAAAACCCTTTGGTGAAACATTTTCGAAAATCACAATCAAAGTTTCCAAAGAATTTTCTTTTTCGAGAAAACCAGCAAAAAGTGAAATGCAGCCCCACGCCATGTAGTCGCCGGTCTAAAACCTTTGAATTATACCATTTTCAAAGCCCTCGGGAAGAAAGACGGTTCAAGGAAACAAGTTCATCTTTGGCAGGTAAGTAAGGCATCCCAGTTACAATAGTATTTGGTAAAAATATTGCAAGATAATGAATTTTTTACTATCTTCAGCACTTTCATAAACAATGAAATTTTGCGAAACTTTGAAGGAAAAAATCACGGCTTGGTACACGGAATTTTTGAAGAATTATTAAACCTCAGTAAAGCCCTACTGTTGTAGTACAACATATAGAAAATCCAGCTTGGGCAATTAAAAAGCAACGAGCCGAGAGAGGTAAGCGCGCAGTTCATTTTCGATGTTTTTGCATAAAACGTTGAAACCGTCACGCAACCGCGGGTAACACAAACTCCATGAAATTATATTTAATGTGCCCAAATATGCATTTTTTTCAGTGACAATGAATATAACGTAATATAATGTTCTATAATGTAGTATCTAATGAATATTTAAGTCTTTTATCGTTTTTTTTTTTTTAATTTTAACGTATACATGGAATAAGTCAAACCGCGGCTCAGAAGGTCAAGTGCAGTGTCAATACCGACATAATTTCATATTGGCTAAACGAAAATACATGTACAGTATCTCAAATCAAGAACCTTCGATAAAGTGCATCTGAAAGTTTGTTTCATTCGATAAAAACCCGTTACTGAGGGGCTGGAAGTTGTTAGAGTTCAAATGGGGAAAAACTGCGTTTGGCGAACCAAACAATAAAGGTCAACAAATGATATCGACACCACCCAAGGTACTACTTTTTTAATTTAACAGTGTTTATGTTCATTGAAGAGCTTGCATTCATTATAAACTCGTCCTGTTGTTTCAGTGACCCAGGGGGAAGGTCGCCCTTAATGCACCCTTCCCAACTGGTCGACAAAATGCTTTAAATTTACTAAAAAATGTTAAATTGACACAAAATGTTCGTACAAATAGTAATATAGTTAAAACAAACAACTGAAGAGCAC